AGCCCCTCCGACACTCCAAACCCCTCAACCCCATCTCCCAGCCCAGAGCCCACACCCCAACCCCCTGCCCCAGCCTGGTGAAAGTGAGTGAGGGTGAGGGAGAGCGAGCGATGGAGGGAGGGGGGATGGAGTGAACGGGGGGTGGGGCCTCAGAGAAGGGGCAGGGCAGGGGCATGGCCTCGGGGAAAGGGCGGGGCAGGGGCAGGGGCAGGCAAGGGTGTTTGGGTTTGTGCGATTAGACAGTTGGCCCCTTGTGCTGTATAGAAATATTTGTCAGTGATGTTTCCATTGCCTGGAGTAGCAAACAATCTATATCGGCAGCAAAATTCTGTGTGCGCAAGTGTGTGGGATAAAAGCCAGCTGCTTACATACACATTGCTTGTGACAGGCGCCCGCCTGACATCTCCAGAGACTGGAACCCTGGGTTCATCCAGTGACGGGTACAGCAGCAAGCTCAGCTTCCCACAGGGGCCAGCCCATGTGCCTTAACTATGAACTGCAGGGAACCTGCCTGCTGCAGGGGACTCTCCATCATCTATTCCAGTGATTCTCAACCAGGGGGACGCGTACCCCGGGGGACGCAGAGATCTTCCAGGGGGTATGTCAGCTCATCCAGACATTTGCCTGGTTTTACAGCAGGTTACACAGAAAGCACTAGTGAAGTCAGTACAAACTAAAACTTCATACAGACAAAGACTTATTTATACTGCTTGGTATATTCTACACTGAAATGTAAGTACAATATTTATAGTCCAATTGATTTATTTTAGAATTGTATGGTAAAAATGAGAAAGTTAGCAATGTGTCAGTAACAGTGAGGCTGTGACACTTCCATATTTTTATGTCTGATTTTGTGAGCAAGTCGTTTTCAAGTGCGGTGAAATTTGGGGGTATGCCAGACAAATCAGACTCCTGCAAGGGGGACAGTCATGTGGAAAGTTTCAGAGCCACTGTTCAGCCTACAGCGGCTCCGCTGCGATGGGCCAGTTGTGATGGTAGGCTTGGGGAGGAGAACTCCACCCCCATCCTTTGGGAACTGCACTGAGATCCCCAGAACCCATAACAGCGAGGCCAGCAAACTGCCCCAGATGGCAGCAACCTTCAGTCACCACCACCTTGGTCTGGATTTAACTAGCAACCTAAAGCTAGAACATGTCTACAGCCCATTACCCATCCCTGCGCCTCCCGGTCCCCTGCAGAAAGCTCTCCTGGAATGCAGCTGTTAAAGGCAGGTTACACATGGAAGAGATTTTAGCTCAGATCCCTAGACAGAGCCCGTCATTCAGTCCTGTGTCATTATGGTCCAGGTGCAAACACAAGAAAGTCAGTGTCCTACCTGAGCTGAAATCCCACCAGGTGTTTTCCTGTCCGGTTCCCTGATGAAGCTAGAATTGTAACTGCTGTGAGTTCCCAGATCTCTCTTCTCTGTCAGGGTTAGGAGATCCTGTTTCCACTCCTGCCTCTTGCAGTGTCTGACTGTCCTAAGGGCTACAGTGTGTGCAAGGGTAGAACAAAGGGACAGAGAGGGAGGGCTGTTGGGGGCTGGGGGAGGGGAAGGCTGGGAGATAAGGGAAGGTAGATCTATGGAAGGGATATTCCCAGAGTGAGCTCATTCAGACCATCCTTAGCACGGTGCCAGATGCTCTGAGCTCCATCCCTGGCTATGCATTCGGGACTGGCTTGCACTGCACCACTTCCTGGGAGGAATTGCTGTCGCATGCAATTGCTGTAGTTTCCTGTTCTTTCTCTTGATCGCTGATGTAAAAAATAAACTACATTTCCCAGCAGCCCTGTGGGTGGCAACTAGGTGCGGAGATCTTGGGCAGCTGCTGCAGCCTACGTCAGCTTCTGGTCCATGCCAAGTGCCCGCTCAGGGATGAGCCGGATGCTCGGGGTACCAGCCTGTGGCCTAGTTCAGCACATGTCACATGAGGGGCACAACTATAAAGGCCATGCAGAGATCAGAGATCAGTTTAATATAGGAGCTGAGTATCAGAACTTTTTCAGAGTCGGGGCTGCCTGCTTCAGATCTAGTGTTGTTTCAGAAATGTTGAGACAACCTTATCAAAGCACTTTGTTTCCACTGTATTCAAATATCATATCATAATGTAATATAATGAATAATATAGTTTATATGATTGAAACAAAGAACTTTGACCTAATCAAAACAAAACGTTTGGATAAAGTGTAATTGAAATGTTTGATGAAATCAGTATGTTCATTTAATTGAATCAACGTTTTCCAACTGACAGTTGTCCGGCTGGAAAATTTCAGACCAGTTCTAGTTGGTATGTTGCTTTCCCCCATTATTCAGTACGTGTTGATGGCTTTTTTTCCTTGCGTGACTTGCCTTGTGTGTTTTGATTTCATTTCGGATTGAAGATTTTCCCACACTCAGAGCTCTTGAATGGTTTCTCTTCCATTTGGATAATCCACAGAGTGAGGAGTATGATTGTGTCTTTAGTTCTGCACTATATTTATGTTGTTGTTCTCTGGTCTGGTCTCTCTGCCCAGAATTAGGAAGTTTTTGGCTCTTTGTCCTGGATTCTTCTGTCATGTTAGAGTTTGCTGAACTTGATGGATCTGGTTTGATATTTGGTGTGATTCCTCTTATTTTTCACTTTGCATAAGCTCTTCAACTACACAGCTCTGCGAACCTCTCTCTCGTATCTATTTCAGACAGTATCTTCTTTCAGTTGTTCTCTCAAGTTTCATGCTGATTTTTGTTTTGTTTTCCATTCAACACGGCATCATCTGCTGTACTAAAAAGAAAAGATCATTAGTAAGAAACAAGCTGTCTCTCGCCGAACAAATAATTGGTCCCTAAGAGTCCATTCTGCCTGAGTTAGTTAGTATCAACCCGTGCAGTATGGTGAATAGGTTAGGACTCAGCATTAATACACAACAAGGTGGATTTTATTGGTTTTTTAATACAGTACTTAGCTCAGGTACATGGCGTTTGAATGCCTGTAACCAACTGTGATGT